GCCAGTGAGGACTGAGTGAGGAAACAGTGAGTAAAAGGGCACGGGAGAAGCCTCACATCTTCAGGGGGCACCTTAGAAGGTATAAATGGTTCCTGCCTACCAGCCTACAGAACCTGGGCCGAGCAGGCTTCGCTTGACTTAAACAGGCAGTAAAACATGGAAACAAAGACAGACTTATTCTAACATGACTCCCACCTTCCGAAAGCATTTGCAACAGCTAACACTAGGGACAGGAAATGTATGCCCCTCTATCTGCTCCTTTGGCCACACCTGTTTCCACCACTGGCCAGAGGAGCTGTCCTCACCTGGCTGGCCAAGGCCCAGGTCATTTGTCAGGACCTCATGGCAGGAACCCAGTAGGCTTCTTGTGCTGACTCTCTAAGCCTGATCCCATGGGGGTGGACTAACCACTTTCTTTAAATTCCTGTCGCATTCTCTGTAGCAATGCTGGTAAACTGAGTCAGGACCATGTGAGAGGCCTGGCCACAGTGGCAAGGGCATAGAGAGGAAGAAGGCTCCAGTTCTGCCACCAAAGGGAGCAGCATAAGAGCAGTCAACAGGGTCTCTGGTGCCCATTCTGCTTCCCTATGTGGCTCCCTTGAAACCACGGAGAGGAAGAAAGCTTAGTAGAACAGTGTTAAGTATATGGACAGTGCCATATACTTAATCTCTGTAAAAAAATAATAGACACCACTACCAATGAGGCATGTGACACTCCTTTAGTCCTCACAAGACCCCAAGAAGATCTGACCATTACTGCTTCTGTTACCCAGCAGAGGAAACAGGAGGTAAAAACTCAGCTGGGCCAGCCTCAATCCCTGCGCTTGGAGCCCTCCTCAGTTTCTCCTCCTACCTCTGTGGAATCATCAGAGGGAATAGAAACTTTGCTCTAGGATTTGCCTCAAAAATAATCTCCCTTGACCTCAAGCTACCCTCTAGTTCTTACCCCATTCTCTCTTCCCCTTCAGGATACGATTACAAAGACATGTCCTGCACCCGTCTCTATGTCTCACCTCACCCTCTGTGTGCAAGCACCCCTTCTGCTCCTCCCAGCACAAAATGCCCCTGCCAAGGCCAGCAGTCCCCTGCACAATGCCAAACAACCCTTAGACCTCAGAGTGTCCAATGTCTTGGCCAAACTCACTGTGGCATGAGACACCCAACAACTTGAGACTTGCCCACCATGGTTTCCTAAGTCTTTTTCCTGTAGCTGTGCCCCCCACCTCCTCCTACATAGGACTGTAGCCCCTGCTCCTTTTCGTCCCTCTTGATAAAGTCCTGACCACCCAGACGATGCTGCCAATCATCAAGAACAATGCTCTGTTCGTATTTCTGAAAGTAACTGCACTGGGGCAGCTAAGTCTAGCTGAACTTTGACCAAGATCTTCCTGCTAACACCCACAAAACATTCCATCCTCCTTCCTCCAGTCAGAACACTCTTTTGGAGTCTTCTTGTGCCTAGTATTCTACAATAAAGACTATGTTAATGTGCTCTGGCTGATTTTCTTTCTTGTGTGACTCCTTGAGACTTGTTCTTCCAGCTTAGGGTTGCCAGATTTAGCAAATAAAATGTGACACACTTATGCTGAAAAGTGATTCAGACTACCTACCAAGCTAAGAGGCATCTCAAATATGGCAAGTCTAATGTAGAACTCCTGATTTCCCAATTCTGTCTCTCTGAGCCTCTTCCTTCTTGTAAAAGGCACCATTATCCACTCAGCTGGTCAACGCAGGAGAAAGGTCTTGGTGTAGAGGAGAAATAAAGATATAATCCTTTGTATTTTATATATGTGTATACTGTTTGGACTTATCTCTGATGAATATGCACTACTAAAAAAATAAACAACTTTTTTTTAGAGCAGTTTTGGGTTCACAGAAAAATTGAGGGGAAGATAGAGATTTTTCATATACCTTCTGCCTCCACACATGTGCAACCTCCTCTATTATCAACATCCTACCCAGCAGTGGTACATTTGTTACAATAGGAGAACCTACACTGACACATCTGCGGCAGGTGGACAGTGAAAGCAGAGGGCAGGAGGTAAGGGCAGGGCAGCAAGCAGGGCCTTATCAGCCAAGCAAAGAGTTTGTTTCTTTTTCAGGGTGAAGTGAAAGAATTGGACAGGATGATGATGTAATAATGGTTACGTTTTCCCCACTAAAAAGGATCAGGTCCAGGAGTGATCCCAGATGACCCCCATGGTAAGAGTCCAGAAACCCTAGGAAGATGGACCCTGGTATATGCAAAAGTAATAGTGAAATTACATACAGCCTAGAAAAACAACACTGAGAAGAAATGAGTGATCATAAATATAAATAATGAATATAGACATTTATATCCATGATACTGGATTTTTTTCTAACCAGTTTTAGTGTAAGTGAACTGATTAATTTTGAATCCATTATAATATATTGTGCATATTGAAAATATTACAGGCATTTGATATATTATATTTGTGCCTTTAAGTGTTCAGAAGATTTTGATTAAATAGACATACATGATTAATGTTTAAATGTTTGGAGAATTTGTTAAATGTCTAAGTTGTGATTTATTAACTACGAAAATAAATGGTGTGTGATCATTTTGAAGAATGCAGGCTCTTGGATACCTTTTAAAATGTTGACTGTTCAACAAGTATATTGAAATAATGAATGAGGTGTTAACAAAGTCAGTTAGGGATAAGGCCTCTCTGTATAGGTACTTAGACATCCAGGCCTATGGACAGCAGCAAAAAGAGGGTATCCAGGTGTCCAGCTTTTTCTGGGCTTCCTTCATTGGCCAGACAGGCCTGAGCAGCAGTGAAGTGGTCAGTCAAAAGGATTTTTGACCCTTAAACAGGGGTTTGAATCTCTAAAGGTTCAGGGAGGGAAGGTCTCTACTGCCCCCCACCAAAAAAAAATCCTGAAAGCAAAAACCAGAGAGAAAAAAATGATTAATTCGACTCCATCAAAGTTTAAATACTCTGTGGGACAAAAAATTGTCTCTAAACAAAATTAAGAGCCAAGCAAAGGTCTAGGGAAAATGTCTGGAAACAACAGAAGAGACAAAGAAACAGTGTGCTCTCCTCCCCTCCCCCACCCGCAAAATAAATAAAAGACTTCAACACAGCCCTGAGGGACAGAAAAAAAAAAAAATAGAGAAACAGGTGAGAGTATAAACAAGTGCTCAGCAGAAGGAGAAAGACAAGTATCTAGTCAGTACAGATAACACTAGAGGTTGGGAAAATGATTTAAACCCAGCAGCAGGAGGCCCTGCCTCACTATCAGATGGCCCAAAGGCCCAGGAAGAGAGAAGAGACCCCATACTGAATGGAGGGGAGGGGGGGAGGGGAGGGGACTGGGTCCACCTCTATGAAAGACAACTTAGCAATGACCGTTCAGTACCCACATGTCCTCACGCCCCCAAAGCACAACCGTGGTGACTCACTGACACAGGCACACAAGAACAGCCCAAGAGTGCTGACAGCAGCTGTGCTGGGACCCTGACAGCACAGCCAATGCTGTGCTCTGTGCTGTCCCCAATAGGGAACGGCATCGTGTGGCTGTGTAGGCAGTGCAGTGGCGCTATAGGCACAACACAGAAACAGCTCCTGGAGAAACCACTGTTACATGAGGAAAGCAAGCTGAGGAATGGCGTCTAAAAACGTCCCACACTGTCCTGTCCTGTGGTCTATCTTCACTAGGCATGTGCGTGGGTACACAGGGAATGGTCTGGCCAGGGGTGACTTCAGGAGGGAGGAGAGTCACCTGGGATAGAGGCCCCACCTCGGTCAGCACCCTGTGGTCATTTCTACCTGCTCTATACCCCCAACAAAGTGGGGACACCGTGGTCCACCAGCAGAGACCTCACATCCCCGTGGATGGTGGTCAAAGGCCCTCAGCTTCATTGGGAATATTGGAGTGTTTCATAAAGAGAATGTGCTGAAATGTCACTTGGGTCAATAAAAATAAGTACAGATGGACAAATCAGGTCCTGAAGGACTGGCTCACTAGTAAGGGAGGTTCCTGTTGCGAGAGTGGGCTGTGGAGGAGAGTGGGTTGTGGATGCAGAAAAACCCCTCCTTTAGCCCATAGGGAGGGGATGACGCTGGGAGGAGGTTGCAGAGACTCCAAGGCAGAGATCCTACCCAAGCTTCCCTCCAGGACACACACAAGGGTCAAGGTGCTACAGGATAGCCTCCCCCCGCCCCCTACAAAGTACCACCCAGCCAAGATGTCGCTAATGCGGTATGAAAACCCTGCATAGGCTGTACTGCTTGGAGCTCTCCTTCCTAGGGTGCAGGTCTTGAGAGGAATCAGGCTGAGGACCAGGGTCCATCAGGGCTGCCCAGATGAGTCTGTGAGGTCGATACTGTTCTTCCAGGTGCCTCACAAGAAGTCTGTTCAATCAGACAGAGGAGGACACTGACACTGTGTCACCCAGTGAGGTGGGGATCCAGTTTTGGACCCCAGGCCTCTGGGAAGCCCAGTGCTAACGCATCAGGTCCTTAACACCTCATACAAACTAGTGGGAGGCAGAACCATTCCTGACCTTTCCTGGGTAAGAGGTGGAGGAGGTGGGCTAGGATACTGTGAGACCTCAGCCCTCTGGGCTTCACAAGTGGCTTGGTTCAGTGGGAGCACTCTCGACTCTCCCCTTCCTAGATGTGTGTCTTTGGAAAAGTTAAATGTCTGTACCTTCACTGCCTCATCTGTTAAAGGGGGATAACAGGATCTACTTCAATGGTTTGTGATGAATAATGCATTTGCATTACAGGATATCTGGCTGATCCCATCCCCACTTCAAACCCATCAAAGCTGTTTTAGATCAGTGGTTCTTAAACTACTGCAACATCAGAATCACCTGGAGCAGCAGTCCCCAAACTTTTTGACATCAGGGACCCGTGTTCCTAAGAGAATCTAATGCCTGATGACCTGAGGTGAATCTGAGGCCGGGGATGCTAACGCTGGGGAGCAGCTGCAAATACAGATGAAGCTTTGCTTGCTTGCCCGCTACTCACCTCACGCTGTGGCCGGGTTCCTAATAGGTGACAGAGGGGTACCAGTCCGCGACACTGGGGATTTGGGGACTCCCTGACCTAAAGGACCGTTTAAAGACAAGCACTGCTGGAGCCACCTGGGTAGTTTCTGATTACCTGGGGTGGGGGACTGGAGAATTTGCATAGGGAGCAGGACATGCTATATGTAGGGTGTGGAGGAGCGAGCCTCAGTGCAACCTCTAGAAGAGGATCTGGCCCACCCCCATGCTCTGGGTCCCCTCTCCAGCACCCCAGAACCCCCCAAACCGAAGGCACTGCCCCCGCTCTAGGCCTTCGGTGTCCCTCCCCCTTACCAGGTACCCCATCCACTG